TTTTTATTTTTTTTTTTCTGAGACAGAGTCTCACTCTCTGTCACCCAGCGCTGGAGTTCAATGGCATGATGTCAGCTTACTGCAACCTCCGGCTCCCGGGGTTCAAGCCAATTTCTGCCTCCAGGCCTTCCCAAGCAGGCTGGGATTACCAGCTGTTCTTGTGCTAATTTTTGTTTTTTAGTTGAGCATGGGGGACGGTGAAACCATGTTAGCCAGGCTGGTTCGAACCCTGACTTCAGGTGATCTGCTTGCATTGGCCTCCCCAAAGGTGCTAGGGATTAACAGGCTATGAGCGACACATGTCTGGCCTTTAGGCTTTTCTTAATACACAGATAACGTTTCAGTATCTAGTCATGATTGAAAACCATTGAAATACTGCAGAAAGGACATTGGAGCTTCGAGTGTTGAGAATGGCACAAGATTGCTCAAGGTAATTGTTATTGGGGGCCAGGGTGTGGTGGTCATGCCTGTAATTCCTGCACTTTGGGAGCATGAGGCAGGAGGATCCGTTGAGCCAGAATTCGGAGCCAGCCTTGGCGCAACAAGTGTGACTTTGTCTCAACCAAAAATCAAACAACATCATAAGCCAGGCAGGATGGTGCGCACCTTGGTGGTCCAGTTTACTCGGAGGCTGAGTGGAAGGTGTTGGAGGGAGAAGGATAGGAGGGCTGCAGATGAGTCCTAGATAGCGGCCACGATCCAGCTGGAGGACCAGAGTACATTACGTACATTAGTGGCTTTAGATTGTGTATCAAGGTTGAAAGGTTCAATTCCAATTTTGAAAGAAATTGAGAAGGCATCCTTTTTAAAGGATGAGAGAGTTAAGACCAATAAAATACTTAGTTTTTATGCTGTCTACTGCTTCAATAATAGTATTGGTTGATTCCTGGCATTGGCCCAATAGAAAGAAGTAAGAATAAAGTAATTGTGACCAAGGCGGCTGGTGGCTCACCACCCTATATCCGAGCTCTTTGGGAGGTCGTGAGTGTACGGATTCAGCTGAGGCTTTGGATTTGCACCAGGCCTGACTAACCATGGAGAAAACCCCGTCTCTACTAAAAATACAATATTAGCAGGTCGTGGTGGCGGCCTACCTGTAATACCAAGCTCTTGGGTGAGGCTATGAGGCAGGAGAATTTGCCTTGAACCTGGCGAGGGGAGGTTGTGTGAGCCGAGATATACCATTGCCACTTCCAAGCTCGGGGCAACAGAGCGCACCTCCATCTCAAAAAAAAAAAAAAGATAAGAAAGAAGAAAGAAATAAGGTATTTACATAAGAAAAAAAAAAAAAAGAAAAGAAAAGAAAGAAAGAAATAAGGTATTTTACATAAGGATTGGAATGAAATTAAAACCATTATTTGAAGATAATGGCTTAAACAGAAACTCTGCAAATCCTTAGAATAAGGAAGTTCAGGCCAGGTGTAGTGGCTTGTGCCTGTAATCCCAGTGCTTTGGGAGGCTAAGGTGGGAGGATTGCTTGAGCCCAGGAGTTTGAGACAAGCTGAGGCAACATAATGAGATCCCATCTCTACAAAAAATTTAAAAATGAGCCGGATGTGGTGGTGCATGCCTGTAGTCCTAGCTATTTGGGAGGCTGAGGTGGGAAGGTCACTTGAGCCTGAAGAATTCAAGGCTACAGTGTTATGATCATGCCACTGCATTACACTCCAGCCTGGGAGACAGAGCAAGACCCTGAGACCCTGTCTCAAAAAACAAAATAAAAAATCCTCACTAAATTGAACATGACATCAACAGTCAATAGCCATTCCCCTTCTCCTTTGCTAATAAAATTCCAGTTTCTTTGTGTTCCATCCCAGGACCATGATTTATCTAAACTGGTCATTCTGGGTCAATAAGTTTGGCTAAAAATAAATAATATCGAAATTGGTCACAGCAAACCTAGTCTTTTTTTTTTTCTTTTTGTTTTTTTTTTTTTGAGACGAAGTCTCTCTCTGTCGCCCAGGTTGGAGTGCAGCGGCATGATCTTGGCTCACTGCAACTTCTGTCGCCCAGGTTCAAGCAATTCTCTGCCTCGGCCTCCCGAGTAGCTGGGATTACAGGTGCCTGCCACCAAGCCTGGCTAATTTTTGTATTTTTAGTAGAGATAGGGTTTCACCATCTTGGCCAGGCTGGTCTTGAACTCCTGACCTCGCATTCTACCCGCCTTGGCCTCCTAAAGTGCTGGATCTGTCACTCAGGCTGGAGTGCAATAGTGCAATCACAGCTCACTGCAGCCTCAACCTCCCCAGGCTCAGATGATTCTCCCACCTTAGCCTCCCAATTAGCTGGCATTAAAGGCACATGCCACCATGCCCAGCTAATTTTTCTATATTTTTTGTAGAGACGGGGCACCTCTTATCGCTTCTCAGTCTTTTGGCTAAGATCAAGTGAGACAGGGCACCCCTACCTTGCCCAGGCTGGTCTTGAACTCCTGGCTTCAAAGGATCCTCCTGCTTCAGCCTCCCAAAGCACTGGGTCTATTATTCCCTTTTGTATTCAAACTTAATTCTGTATTTTCAAGGCCTTGAATTTTCAAGTACAGTTTTTTCTTTCCCTGAACTTAATCTTCAGCTCCTCTCACCTCTTGGGAGGGTAGGGGGTGGGGAAGAAAAGTCCCAACCCTCTAATCCTGCCTTGCTCTTGGGCTGCCAGCCTGCATCCTGAAGCTACCTAGGGAATGCCGGCTACCAGTCAATTTGTTTGCATACAAAAATATATCACTTTGGAATTTCTGGGTGTATATGAAGAAATGAGGTCAAAGACCAAATGTATATATTTCACTGTATCACACTTACACACTTTTGTTTACTGTTTCCCTTCTCCTACTGGATTATAAACCTTTGAGGGTGGGGACTGTGAGTTATTTATCTTTATATTCCCAGTGTCAAGGGTGTGTAGCTATAATGGGAATGAATCTCAAAGTTTCTTGACTAAATGACAAGAAGAATCATAGTTGCATGAACTAAATTCATTATTCTCAGTCCTTAAGGTAAATGAATATATTGATATTATGTATTTGCTTACTCTTTTTTGCAAGAGGAGAGGGAGAAAGAGGAGGGAGGGAGGGAAGGAAGGAAGGAAGGAGAAAAGAGAAGGAAAGGGAAGGAAGGAAGAGAAAAAAAAGAAAACGGAAAAAGAAAGAAAAAGAAGAGAAAGAAGGAAGGAGAGAGGAAGGAAAAAGAGGAAGGAGGAAGGGAAGGGAAGAAAAGAAAAGAGAAAGAAAGAAGGTAGGAAGGAAAGGAAAGAAAAAGGAGGAAGAGAAGAAAAAGGAGGGGAGGAGAGGGAAAAAAAAAGGAGAGGGAGGGAGGGAAATGAGGAAGAAAGAAAGAAGAAAAGGAAGGAGGAAAGGAGGAGGAGGGAAGAAGGGAAGAAAGAAAAAGGGAGGACCATGAAAGAAGGAAGGAAGGAAGGAAGAAGAAGAAAGAAAGAAAAGAGAGGAGAGGAAGGAAGAAGGAATGGAGAAGAAAGAAGAAAGAAAAGAAAGGAAGAAAGAAAGAAGAAAAGAAAGAAAGAGAGGGAGGGAGGAGGCAGGCAAGCAGGCAGGAAGGAAGGAAGAGAGGAGGAGGCAAGGGAGGAAGAAAGGAAAGAAGGAGGGAGGGAGGGAAATGAAAGAAAGAAAGAAAATAAAGAAATAAAAATTTAAAAACCATAAGGTTAAAGTAAACCCTTCTTATTCATACAGATTAAACACACGACTTCAAATTACAGCTTTGCTTCTTAAGAGCATTGGTGATGTAGGACCAAGTGTGTAACCTCTCTGTGCCTCAGTTTCCTCATTTATAAATAGGGCAAGCAATAATAGTCTACCCACATAAGGTTATTGTGAGGATTAAATGTGAAATGCTGATCACAAACCTAGCAGCCCAATAGAGTATCACTGTAATAATTATTATTTTTAATAATTTCTTGCAAAAGTAGGGTGATGATTATTGCGTTACACTCCGGCAGATTTTCTTTTATTTACTTTTATTTCTTCCCTGTTTCCTTTCTTTTTTCTGTTCACTTTAAAGAATTAAAAAGAAATCAAGTCCAACATTTTGGAATAAAAATTTCCATCAAAATGAATTATCATTTTATTGACATACAAATAAAATGTCATTTATTAAATGTCTGAGTAAATTTTCAACATCATGCCAGGCACAGGGATGACAATGACAATAAGATGTGGCGTCTCTCGCTCAAGGAGCTGATAGTCCAGGAGACTGACAACTAGACAGGTGATTACATTGCAATGTAACAAGGCGTGTATGTCATACAGAAGACAAGGTGGGAGTATTGATGGCGAGTATGTTTTGAACCGTTCCTTCTTGCTTAGATTCTACCTTTTTTTCTTGGCTATAAAGCAAAAAGATATGGTCCTATTTTTTTCTTAACTGTGCAAATTAAACCATAAATCTAACAACTTTATAAAGATAAAAGCAAGCAGTCAGATGCAGTGGCACGCTATATCTAAACGGCCCAAGCGGGGTGATAACCTTTGAGATCGGAGTTCGAGACCAGCCTGGCCCAACATCACGAAAACCCCGTCTCTGCTCAAAAATACAAAAAATTAGGCTGGGTGTGGTGCCGCACTGTAATCCCAGGATCCAGAGAACAAGATAATCAATATGTACACTGGAAGAGCGTATGGTTTGTCAAATGTGTGAGACTTTAGGTG